GTAGTCTGTACAGCAAGAAGCAAAGAGAAACCGAAACCGAAAACGCAGTCCCCCTACTCACTCTGACCACGCCCTCACAAGCCCTCAGGTACTCTTGTAGCCAGCCCCTAAGAAGGCGTGGCTACAGCTTCCCCTACAGCACCCTATTCTGACTTTCACCTTCTTGAACATGTAGCCAGTTGACAGAGAGGAACAAGGGTTAACAATCCAGCTTAAGGCACAGGGTAGCAGCAGCAGAAATAGAAGCTACTCATGAAGGACGGAGATGTGTCTGAAAGAGTTCCTGTGTCAGATCTTTCAAAGACACTTCAATTCAAAGCAGAAATAATTTGACAAAAATACCCCAGGATAGGGGCAATAAAGTAGCCCCTATCTCACTCAGGCTGGATCACAATAAACTAGCACTAGCGTCCGCACAAGGCGCATATCCAACGTATCAACAGACAGCAAGCTGCACAGAACAAGCTATGAAGCCCAAGGCATTGGCGCACATTTGGTAGCTGGCAAGATGCAGCATCACTGCCTGTAACAGGAGGACCTTTGCTTGCCAATCAGGGTTTTGAAAAACTTAGCCATAATAATGGTCCATGGTCACTAATATTGCTCCCTTGAAGCCAGTGATCCTAAAATAACACCACTAACTGAAAATATGGTTAATTTCCCAAGTGAGACAAGAAATTAAAAAGGAAGAAAATGAAGTGCCCCACACTTAAACCAGAATTTTCCAAGTTTCCCATAAAAGCCAGACACTGAAGTTAACACTGAGTCCATTATCACAAATGTGACCCTCTCAGGGGAGGGAAGAAACCCCGGTCTTCATCTGACTAGTGCGGGAAGCGGCCATAGGCCCCAAGAAAGCATTCACTCTAACTCGGGACTTCACCATATCCTTAACATTCTTCCTTTTGGTTTTCAGGCTATTAATTTGTCAGATGAATCATTTTTTCAGGATGCGTCAGATGACAGTCCAACGGCTGTCACCATCACCAGCCTTTGCTTGCAGACAGCAGGACCACGCTGATGAATCATCATTGTCTGACATCTATTGGTGTCTCCGCTGCTGTAAGAAGCAGCCACCAAAGCAGTCAGGGCAGTTTCTCAGTTTACACTTTTGACCTTGGATGTTTTTTTCATGGGGCTAACTTTCAAAGTTTTTATGTATCACGGGGTGTCAGTAAAATCCAATGTTCTCAGGGTCTATTTCCATACTCACTGTAGTTCTAGTGGGTGGCCACCAGCCTCAGAAATATTCACTCACACTTTCTGAAAGCAAGAGAGGCAACACAAAAGCAAGGTCTCTATGCTGAGTTTCCTGGTAGTCTGCTTCTAATCTATGTTATGCCCAATGCTTTTCAAATTTCCTTTTCCTTTCTTTCTTGAGGTAAGGTGTAATGGGACTTCTTGTTCCCAAACAAAATTCTACAGAACAGTTCAAAAGATGAAATACAGCAGAGATGGCAAAACTACACAGCTCCTCTGCCAAACCCTATGGCTTCCTCACATAGCAGAGAAAGATCAGAGTCTGTACCACTGGAATTAAAGACCTTACAGTCTTCTCAAAATCAAAATGGGGCAAAGCATGAACTCTCTCTAATTTAGTTATAATAAAGAAAACCCTCTTACAAGTAAAATGGGTGACAAAAACTTACACTCTGAATCTCAATTTCCAAAATTAAAGGAAGTCAGTAACTTTACAGTTTATTTCACAGTCAACTCAGGATCATTTGTTTTATTTTCCTGGTTTTGGTGCTGAGAACTGAACTCAGAGCCTTGGGCACAACAGACATGTGCATCCCAATCCTACTGTTACTTATGTCTAAACTGCAGAGGGCAACACTATTTTATGTGATTTTGCAAAGCATCCACTCGCTTGCCATTTCAACTTTTGATCTAAATAGAAAAGTCAACATGGAAAAATCCCTGGCATTGGTAGTGATAATTATAATTAGTGTTACAGAGTGAAATGCTTACATTTTTATGTAATACTTGAAATTTCTGTAGTAAGCATGGCACAAACAACCTTGTTTTTTATTAAAAAGCTTCATTTCACAATTAGTTACAATGGAACTCCAAACCTAACAACCAAGTGTCTCTATTTCCTGAATAAATATTGAACACTGGGCAGTAGATCTCTTTACTCCACCAGGTACCGTGTGGTACAAGAAAGTACCAAATAATAATCTACCCAGAGACACTGCCATTCAGTTCTTAGAGCAACATGACCATTAAATAGTAACAATAGTATCCAGTTTAAGTCAGAATAGGTCTGATGCTAAATCAAATGCTAAGGGCTTTGAGTTGCTATTAGACTTTAGAAACAACAAATAGTAATAAGTACTTGCCAAAAAGATTTATATATGGAAAATATAAGATGACCAATGTCATCCACAAATGAAATAAAAGATTAAAACATTAGCATTTCACACTATCCTAAGATTAAAATTTGATAATAAACACACACACACACACACACACACACACACACACACACACACACACACACACACACCGCAGGGGGGTATTTTCCCTCACAGCTTCCAGTGGTTTCTGAACCCCAGCACTCCTGACAGTGTGAACCCCAGCACTCCTGACAGTGTGAGCAGGATCATGCTTTGCTCTGGGTGACTATTCTCTGTGGTAGAAACTGTCTGGTGGGACTTTCAACCCCTGCCCATTGGACTATACCGCTGCCCCAAACCAAAAACCATGATTGTGTCCACACAACGCCAAATCACTGTCCTTGTTCAGAGGGGCCCCATTGAGAATGACACTAGGTTACACTTGGCTCTCAATAGTGACCCTCTGTGGTCACCTTCTAGGATGGCTCGAAGCAGATCCTGAGCATGGTTTCAAAGCCCTCTTCTGCCTGTAGCGAAGCTGGCTGTGTGTCCCATGAAGCAGATGGCACCACAGTCAAATGGAAGTAGTAAGGCTGGAGAGTTTCCAGAATCGTCTCAAATGATTGACACTCTAAGAACATATAATCAGCTAGAGTTATATTCCAATTTTGACCTATAAATAAACATTTCTCCAGGGCCCCTTTCCAATCAGCATGCTTTCCTATTAATCTGATAAGTCATGATTGCCCTTGAAAATCATATTACGCACCCTTCTGTAACCCAGATGGAACACTCTTCAAAGCGCTCTGAGTAGCAATTGTCCACGCCGCCCACTGGAGCTGAGGGCCGTGGGCAGACCATTTCTGGGTCCATTCCGATCCTGTCTACTCCTGGTTACAAGGGAGCGGCCATCTATCCTTCCTACCACTTGCTCTAATGCACCAATGAGAGAAGACCTTACCAATTTTGGTTCACCTAAGTCTCCAAAAGCTTCTTCCAAAACCGCCCCAGTCCCCTTCATGGCTTGAGACTGGCTGAACTAACATTCCACGTTCATCACTTACTTCCCACAGCAAAGCAATCGTAGTCCCAGATAAAAGCTTTGTAATGCTAGAAAACTAAACACAAACCCTTACTGTTTGTGTTTGATTTACTGTTACAGGACTGTCGGTTATCTATTGGACAGTATGCTTGTTTATCTTCTTTTCTGGGTCCCCAAGTCAACCACTGCCTTATCATGATGCTATCAACCCATTACTATTGAGGAAGATTGCTACACTTTTTCTTGCACCCCAATTCGCCCTGAATACTTGTCTCTGCTTGTCTCCTCATTCTCTTATTGCACTTCCTTGTAGGCAAGTAGGAACTTGTTAGTTGTCATCTTCTCATTTGCCCAATTAGAGCTGTGACCAATTAGACATGGAAACGTTACTTTGCACATTGTATATATTGAATTGTATTCCCCCTGCCACCCTAACTTGATATAGAAGCAGTAGCCCCATGTGACTGTGCTGAGCATAGGGACAAGAAAAAAAGTGTATGTTAATTGAGACCCCTAGGGTCCTGTGCCTTATCCTATAGGACTCATACCCTAAGAAGATGTGAGACACCAGAACACACTCCACAGTCCCACTTTATTTACAGAGAAGCCAAAGAGGACACAGGGGCACAGCTGTCTGGAGCAGTCAGAGGACAGACAACACCTGGCATCTTGTTTTCAGCTGTGACAAGATAAACATTTGTTCTTTAAGTGTCCCAGTCTGTGATAACATGTTATGGCACCTGAGCAGATAAGTACAGGGTGAAATATCTACCTTAACTGCCCTTCTCCTACAATCAGATCGATGACTACCTGAAGTCAGGTATAAGGAAGTGAAGGACCTCCCATATCAACTACCTTATATGCCATCACTGAGCCTTCATCCAGTAGCTGATGGAAGCAGATGCAGAGATTCACAGCTACCCACTGGACTGAACTCCTGGAGTCCAATTGTAGACAGGGAGGAGTGTAGGGGGAAATGCTGACCATGCCCGCTTGGGGCTGGCACAGGTGTTGCTCGTGGTCAGAGTGACGTAGCAAGGGTTTAAATATCAGAGAGGCAGGTAAGAGGCCCTCTTTTTCTCTCTCCCGCTTGGCTGAATGGACATCTGCGGGTGACTCTGGCTCTGGTGTAACCCTGGTCACTGGCCCTTGCATGAGTACTATCCTTTTAATAAACTACCTGTAGTCAATCTACTTATGACTCCATAGCATTGGGCATTAGAGGAGCAATAATATGAGCAAAAGGGTCAAGACCATGTTGGGGAAACCCACAGAAACAGCTGGCCCAAGCAAGTGGGAGCTCACTGACTCTGGACTGACAGCTGGAAAACCTGCCTAAGACTGAACTAGGCCTCCTGAATGTGGGTGACAGTTGTAGGACTTGGGAAGTTTATGGGGCCATTGGCAGTAGCACCAGGATTTATCCCTAGTGCATGAACTGGCTTCTTGGAGCCCATTCTCTATGGAGGGTTACCTTGTTCAGCCTTGATACAGGGGGGAGGGCCTTGGTCCTGCCCCAAATGATGTGACAGACTTTGATGATTCCCCATGGGAAACCTCACCCTCTCTGAGGAGTGGATGGGGGTTGAAGTAGGAGGACAGGAGGGAGAAGGAACTGGGACTGGTATGTAAAGTAAGAATGTTTTAAAAAGAAAGAAAAAGAAAGACACACCTAAACCTCAAAGGCCATTGGTGTCATAGTCATAGATACAGACCTTCTTGGATATGGCTCTTGGTGATGCAGATATTGGAATATGATTTTATTGTTTTGTTTGCATAAAGAGCACTTTGTTGCTCAGTGATATTATTATTAAAAAAACATACAGATAATGTGTCTGGAAAGATGGCTCAGTGGTTAAGTGTGCTCATCATTTTTCTAGGGGATGTAAGTTCAGTTCCTAGTACCCATGTCAGGCAGCTCACAACCACCTGTAACTCCAGCTCCAGGCACGCATGCGCACACACACCTTTTTTTATAAACCCTGGAAAAAGTACCTTGTTTTCATTTTCAGGTCAGTGTGAGAAAGACAAGACATCCTGAGAAACAAGTCCAGGAAATACAACTAGGTCTCTGCTCTATGTTTCCAAGCAATTCGCAGCATGGTCGGGAAGGAGCCTCGCTGACAACAAACCAAGTGGACAGAAGCCGAGGACAGCCTAGTCTATGCCTTCTCTACAAGCCAGTGGCCTACAGTGTAGCCAGTTGTGCCAGGCTTGGGGCCATGTCCCTCAAGCACTTGGTGCTGCTGATGAGTTTACACTCCCCATTGGACTTAAGAGGTAGGTCAAACGTGTAAGGATTCAGGCTACAGTTGCTTGGTCCCTGGATGTTTCAGTTCACAATGACCAATGAACTCTTGAAAGTAGACAATGACCACAGACACAGACCTCCCCAACCATGAACCTATTTCTCAGCATGAGTAAGATGAGATTCTCCCAGGAGGAAGCCAAACCCTTCTGTAGTGAAAGATCCTCTTTGCCACCATTTTCATTTGAATCATCCTTCTGACTTTAATGTCTTCTTGAAGAAAAGTCAATGTGACCAAAGGTTCCTGGGGTACAATGTACTCTCCAGAGTTATCAAGCTCTATTCACAGCTCTGTGAGCTGATGGGACAGCTGGGGTCATCATGGAGTAGAAGGAAGTAGACCATGGACACCAACATCTTCTTGGTGGTATTCCACACTCTCTTATTGCAGACTTATACCCTCACCAACCTTTCCATATGCTGTACTCTTCATTTTGACCATGTTCCTCCTGTCACCATCTTTCAAGGCATTTATAACTTAGTGTTTTGTTTTGCTTGCTGCTGTCACTTCCTCACAGGGTGACTTCCACTCCACTGGCTCCAGTCCTTGTTTCAGCTGACAGCTCAGAATCACAAGAGCAAAACAGGCTTCTCCTTTTTAGGAAAGGCTCTTCCAGACTCCCAGTATTAAGTCTCTCAAATACAAAAGCCTTTTTTTACTCTTCCAAGTCACCACAATGTGGAACAACTTTCAAAGTGATGAAAGGCGTGCGTGTAGAAACAAGAAGCACCCTGCCTATACTGTTTCCCGCTGGGTTCTAGACACACGGGATGGCCTCCAGTCAGCAGCACTCAGTTCTAGACACACGGGATGGCCTCCAGTCAGCAGCACTCAGTTCTGGCGGTTGCTGCTTCACTTTCTCTTTGAAACCTCTCTCTGTCAGTTCTCCTCATGCCACTGCTGCACCGAGGACTAGCTCTCTAACGATGGACCAAAGACAGAAAAATTCACTTTTCTCCACTACTCACCACAGCCTCCGCCCAATGGCAGCTGACTGAGAACACCTTCACTGTTTACAGTTACAGTGCCTTGACACAACTTAACAGTAAGTGAACAGCAAGACACTCTATTCCCACTGCTGGCACCATCTTTAATGCAGACGAAACCAGCTATATTCTTGTGGAAGTTTGAGTAACCTAGCAGGAGCATTCAAAGCCTCCCTCCCAGTGGATGATGATGTTTGCTACCTTGACCAGGCCTTGCACTGCTGTATTTCATGTATCTGCCAAGCTTTTCTCTTCTGTTTGTTGTGCCTCTGGATAGAAACCATTAGAGTTGTTCATAATCACCGTAAGTAGTGGAAATAACAGTCTTACATCCACTGAGTGACATTTCTGGCAGTCCTGGAATAGCTGTGAGTGTGAAATAATGAAAAGGAGAAAGACTTCCAGACCACAAACAAATGAACGTTCTGAATTATAAGTAGAAGCCAGGCAGTCCTGTTTTAACTGCACATGATATGCTCACAACAGGTAAATCCATACACAGAAAGTAGATCAGTTGTTACTGGAGGATAGGTGATGCATTATGGGGGTTCTTCTAGGGAAAGTAAAATATCATGGTCTTAGATCATGATGATAGGTACATAACTTTGGGAATACTAAGAAAACTGATTATATACTGTAAGGGTGAATTACATGGTATATGAGTCACAGCAATATAAGAAACATTTAATATAACAATACAGACACAAATCTGAGTGATTAAAACGGTACACTAAACATTTGTTTAACACAAAAAGATGGAGTAAAGAGTTAGACATTGTGATGGCCAATCCTGGTTATCGCTGACTGACTGGGTTATCACTCACAAGCCTGATAATCTCAGTTCAATTCCTGGAACCCATTAAAGGTGAAAGGAGAAGTGGCTCTACAAAGTTGTCCCCTGACCTCCACACATCACCCCTTACACACACAAAAATAAAACGCAATTATGAAGACTTACAGGTTCTTGGGATTCTGTTTCTTCCCATGCTCCCCAACTATCATCTTCCCAGTTTGATGATTTACCTAGAGAGACAGAGTGGGGAGGGAGGGAGAGAGAGAACACATAAAATTAAAAGGCTTAACATATTTTAAACATTTATTTTCTAAACATAACAGAAACAAACTGTTTTTTGGTTTTGTTGTTGTTGTTGTTGTTTTTGAGACAGGGTCTCACTACATAGTTCTGGCTATCCTGGAACTTGTTATGTAGACCAGGCTGGCCTTGAACTCACAGAGATACCCCTGCCTCTGTACAGCACTGCTGTAAATATACAGCAACAAACACACCTAAAATTTCACACAGATGTTTTCAAAGTGAATTGTTTCTTGATAGGACAAGGTATCCATGGAAACAACCTGAATTCTGAAACAAGACAAGCTGCCTTCGTCCCTTTTTTGTTGCTCTTGTTTCTTACATTTGAGACAATCTTCTTAGATTAAAATATATTCACTGAAATATGCAACAAGGAATTAAAAACCACAGGTAAGTTTAGAAAGCACATTCCTTGCATGGCTCATGTTGATTTTATATAATTTGCTTAGAATTTACTTAAAGCAATAAAATTATCATCTCCAAGCAACCAGAGACAAGAATGAGATATTCTATCACCCAAATTAAATTAGAACACCAATGAAGTTCCAATAAGACTCAGGCCTGAGACTCAGACTGCAGATGTTTCACCTGAATTGTAACAATTTTCGACTTATGAAATGTGTTATGAAATACCTAGAGCTTGTTCAAATCCCAGATGCAGTACTTCCTACCTCTGAGGAAGCAAATTACCTCCTCTGTAAGCTTTAGCTTCCTCCATAGCACTTTGAGCTATGGGGCTGTGTAAGGACTGAACCAGACAGCATACTGAGGGACTCTGTGTCGGATATGTCAGTCCTCACTGCTAGCCATCATGATTCAGCCACCACGTACCACAACCATGAAGTAGAAACAAAATGTGTTTAAGTGATCAGCTTTCAAACCCCGAGCAGAAGTTAGCATGAAAGATGAACAGGATCTTGATGACTAACGAGAGAGAAGCAATGATAACACACACATACACTCACTTACACACTGTCTTTAAAGGTTGCTGAAACAAAGGACATGGATGATTTAAAAGGGGTTACAGTCTGGCACTTGGAATAACTGCTCAATTAGCTTGTAGTAACAACAGTCTAATCTTCAGCACTTAAATGCCAAGTAATTACTTCCTAAAATTCCAAATTCACTGCTAGGCATATATTAAGTCCTAAAATAGTAGCACGCTTTGATTAAAATCACATGATCTGAAGATTCCCAGATACAAGTCAATTAAGTCAATTAACAATTGCTCTGTTAAATACCATGTACCAAACCTTGTAGCTAAGAAAAGTACAACACAGTCCTTGCTCTTAAAGAATCTATCATCTTATGCGGGATATGGATGAACACTTAACTATAGCACACAATGAGTGCTGTAATTGCTACAGTACCTTGACACGATAGTGAAATAGTTCATAGGTATACAAATGCACACACATATACTCTGAATAATCATTACCATTTTTATTTCATAGGTATACAAATGCACACACACACACACACACACATATACTCTGATTAATCATTACCATTATTTATTAAGACTTTGTTTTTATTTTTATTTATTTTTATCATAGTACATATTTGTGTGTGTGTGTGTGTGTGTGTGTGTGTGTGTGTGTGTGTATGAGTATCTGTGTGAGTGAGTATGCACATGTGTGTGAGTGACCATGGGGACTAGAAGAAGGCATCAGATCCCTTGGAACTAGAGTTACAGGTGTTTTTAAGCCACCGAACACAGGTGCTAGAAACTGAATTTGGATCCTCTGAAGACTGCGAGTGCTCTTAACCGCTGAGCCTTCTCTCTAGCCCCTATTTATTTTTGAGACAAGGTCTTGCTACAGAGCCCTGGCTGACCTTAAACAGATGGTCCTCCTGCCTCTGCCTCCCAAGTACTAGGATTACAGATACATGACACCTCACATGTCCAAAATAGCGTCTTTACAAAGTAGCTATAAACTTTTCAAATTAACTGGAAAAACATAAACATAAAGCAAAAGCCTAAACGCACAGAACACTGGTGATGATACTAGATGCCAAGTGCTGTGCGCAAAGCAATTCACTGAACCATCATAAGGTTCCTTTACAACTTAATGTTACCAGGAGAAAACAGACTCATCAAAAGGTTAAAGAGCTTGCCCTAGATCACAGAAGTGAGTGGAAACCTAGGACTTACCTTCAATTCTGCCATCATTGCCCAACTCATGCCCTTGAGATCCAGGCACACTTCCTTCCATGTGGTTCAAGAACAAACACAAGAGAAACACTGGAGCCTATGAAGAAGACAGAGTCTCTCTGTCTGTCTCTATCTGAGGCAGGGTCTCATGTATCCCAGGCTACCCTGGATTTGCTGCATAGCTAAGGATGACTCTTAAACTTCTGATTCTCCTGCCTTCACCAGATTGCTAGGATTATAGGTGTGCACCACCACACCAGGGTTATGCCACTCTGTGGATCAAACCAGGGCTTCATGAATGCTGATCACTCCCCACCTGAGCTAGAGTCCCAGCCCTTATTAATTAATTAATTAATTTCTTGTTTCTTTTACATTGTTTTTTAAATAGAAATATCCCCCCTAGGCTCTATCCCAAAGGATATGATAGACTCTGATGACACCCTATGGAAGGCCTCACCATCCAGGGGGAGCAGAAAGGATATGTGATAGGTAGGGTTTTAGTTGGGGGGGTGGTAGAGGAGGAAGGGAGGGAGCAGGGAACTGGGATTGTCATGTAAAACAATCTTGTTTCTAATTCTAATAAAAATAATCTGAATAAAAAAGAAATATCCCCCAATACTGACGTTAAAGAGACGTTTTAAAAACTTGAACAATTTGCCAAGAGTGATGATATAAACCTTTAAGTATCAGCACTCTAAAGGCAAGGAGAGTAGATATCTGTGAGTGCAAAGCCAGCCTGATCTACATACTGAGTTCCAGGCCAGCCAAGGCTACACAATAAGACAATATCTTAAAACTACTTTGGACAATTAAATTTTGGGGGTTTTTTGGTCAATATAATTCATTAAACAATCTCTTCATTCATTTTACTACATCATCAAAACAAACTATCTTACTGTATGTTGATTGAGACAACTTAGCCAACCTATTAATTGTTTTAGAAGCCAGGTGGTGGTGGCACACGCCTTTAATTCCAGCACTTGGGAGACAAAAGCAGGCAGATTTCTAAGTTCAATGCCAGCCTGGTCTTTACAGTGAGTTCCAGGTCTGCCAGGGTTACAGAGAGAAATTCTGTCTCAAAAAACCGAAAAATACAAAACAGTTTTAGAATATACATTGTTTCTTAAGCAAGAAATTTAAGTCTATGCTTCATATCTAAAATTGCTATAAAATAATGGAAATATCAAATTATTAGAACATCAAAACAACTTTGCAGAATACAAGCCTTTCAGGAAGTCATTCGTTCATTAAGTAGCACCTTTTCCATGCTAGACATCAGATAGAAAAGGAAGTAAGTTTCCAAAGGGCTCAGTTGAAGCACACAATCTTTATTGAATGTACAACACTATAAAAAGGATTTTATTTTTCCTTTATACTAGTATTAAAAGAACCTGACTCAATTCACAAATGACTCATACAATCAAGCAGAAGACAGCAGTTATTTGGATTTCCTGCCCCTACAGAGACCCAGTCTCTCTTCATGCTTCAGTTCAAAGCATGCCCAAAGAGAAAGACTGACAAATATATTATTTGTTTCAGAGAAGATTTACCCAGTTTTCAATGTCTGGCTACAAGACTGTTTTCAACTGAAGGAAAAAAAACAAACAAAATAAAATGAATTGGGCAGCTCCTGCTATCATGGGAATATTTTCTCAAAGTCGTTAGACTACAGACAGATTAAAGGGCTGAACAAAGGGCTGGGTGGGTAAAGTGTTCACTGAGCAAGTATGAGGACCTAAGCAATCCCCAAGACCCATGTCTATATCATTAGTAGTGTTTCTTTACAGACTGACCATTGATCAAGGTTATAGGTAAGTAAAGCAATGTATTTAACCTTAAATTATGAACTATATAATTTTATGTTAATATCAGACACTTCTGTAAAACCTGAGGTCTTATAAGGTTATAAATCATGAGGAAATAAGAGTAATTTGCTTAATGTATTATCAATTACTATAAAAAAAAAGCTAAAAATATTTTACCATGGTTGTCTCTTAGGAGAGTAACTAGCCCCATATCTTCGAAAGGCTGAAATAATGTAAAAGTCCTAAAGCCCTGGTCTGACTTAACATGCAGGTGTGTGGTGGAGTCAGGCCCCTGGGTGGGCAACTTTAGGGAGATCCACTTGCAATGTGGTGATCCAAAGACTACTACTCACCACGCCACACAGCTACTAGTAGCTACCCAGTTTGCATCATGAGCTGTGTGGTACTCATTTACATCACATTACAGGATGATTTCAATTTTTTTTGCCTATTAAATAATCAGCAGCCATTCAATATGCAAAAGTAATTCTCTAAATGACACTATCGCCAATGTCTGTGTTTCCCATTTTGTTAAAGCACAACCCAGCAAAACTGATCAAACAGCAACCACAATCACTGCCTTCAAAACCCCAGAATTACAGATCTCAGCCAGGTTCCTGATGGAAAACAAAACAACACAACAACAACAACAACAACAAAAAAAAAAAAACCAAAATAATGAGAAAGAAACTAAAATAACGAGTTAGGATGACTGGTAGCCTGAGGTCTGTTTGAGAGGTCTGCATGGGTCCAGGATTCCAGCCCTTGACTCATCCCACGCCCAATTCCACATATGTGAGGCAGATGGCCCAAGGATCATGTCTTAGGAACATTATCCAAGGGCCTGAACATCAGTTTTCCTTGGCCTGCCATCAGTCAGACTGTCTTCAACAGTAGCCACATGTGTAATTATCTAAAAGTAAAAAGGACTAAATTTAATACCATATTCTAATATAATATAACCAGATATTACTACTCCAATATATAAGTGAAATCTCATGAGGTATTTTGTATTCTTTTCTCATATTAAGTCTTAGAACGTAGTGTTCTCTGCACTTGGAGCACATCTTGTCTGTATGAGCCACACTCCAAACGCTCCCTGGGACATGTGACCAATGACTGTGGTGTAAGACAAGGCAAGTCTGGAGTAAAGAATGATGGATTACCAGGCTGCCTGCAGCGGAGTTACAGGAGCTTGGGCAGTTTAATTAATCCCTTGCTGCCTCACCTTCCTCTTCAGCAGGATGAAGCTAATAACTGTATCTGCCTCACAGAACTGTGATAGTTGTGTGAAGCGCTGAGGACCATGACTAAGCACTTTACAATAACCAACCTGCAAAAACAACATTCTCATCACACTTTGCCTACCCTATCATGTTAACCACATGCCTTCCTATATAGTTATGCTGCCAGAGGTGACTTCTTTGGGGGTCACATTAATCCTTCATGAAGTCTGATTGCAGATTTTATATCTGGGATCAAAATAATCTTTTTAAACAAAATTTCCATGGAACATTGTAACATTAATAAATTCTATTTCAATTAGTGAGGCAAAGTAACTGAAAAGTACTGATCCCTAGCTTTAGTTGTTATTAAGAAATAATGAATCCAAGCACAAGTGGCAGACTTCATCCCTGGCAATCAGGTTGAGAGTACATGGCTGGCTGCGATCGAAGAACCTTTATATTTCACATACAACGTCTACTCCAACATTCAATAACAAGACATGCCTCGACACTGACAGAAGACCCTTTGCCAATACAAAGTCAGCTTGCTGTCTCAATCGCTTGTAACTAAACGGTCTTCTTGAAAGGGCTAAGGAAAAAATAATCATAAAGGCCACAGAGCCCCCAAACAGCATACTACTCTGAAGGAAAAAACTTGTTATCGTTCAAACCTTCTTTTTTATCAACAGTGGATAAACACAATAAAGGCAGATTAATAGCAGCAAGCACTGCCTACTGGAGACAGCTTAAGATCACAATGACAATGCTTCTCAAACTGAGTCATATCCAGATGCTGTACCTAAAGAAGTCATTCTATCAGGACATTTCTATAAGGAAACATCCCAAAGGCACACGTGTCAGTGGGCTTTCCCACCTGCCTTGCTGTACAGCCTAATGACAAAATAACATTCTAGGAAAGATGAGATGTATGTACTTTGTCTTGAATCTTTAATCTCTGTTTTTATTCCTCAAACCCCACCTTGTGTTTGTCTATCTTGTGTGTGTATGTGTGGGGTTGTGTGTGTGTGTGTGTGTGTGTGTGTGTGTGTGTGTGTGTGTGTGTGTGTGTTGTAGTCTAGGCAGGACTTAAATTTATTATGTAGCCCATGCTGGCCTTGAACTCACAACCTCCTGCTTCTGCCTCCCAAATGCTGTGATGAAAGGCATGGGCCCTCCACACCTAGCCTCCCACATCTGTTCTGAGGCATGAATTTCCTTTAAATTTTATTCTCTCCTATTCTAAATAAAATTTTTCTTAAAATTCACAGGTTATTGAGGTTTTCATTAGGAGGTGAAGTTGAGTCTTTCAAGAAGTTTGTCAACTTAAAATATTTTGTGTATGTTGGTTGTTACAATTACCCTTCGTTTGTTTCATACCACATCTTGAATCATAACTTCTCTTTAAAGAAAAAGAAGCTGCTCTCCTACCAACTTACATGGCATGGAGAGAAATAAATGGGAGCAAGAGGTTCTAAGTAAGACACATCAAAGTGACAACATCTGCACTGACTACCAACCTGACAGACTGCTAACCTGACTACCAACCTGACAGACTGCCAACATAACTGACTGCCAACCTGGCTGACTGCCAACCTGACAGACTGCTAACCTGACAGACGGCTAACCTGACTGACTGCCAGCCAACCTGACTGACTGACTACCAACCTGACTGACTGCTAAGCTTACCTTTGAACCTACTGTTTTAATACTAATCACTACTCATTACTCTGAACCGTCTAGAATCAGGAACAATACCAGGAAGGCAGGCAAGCACTACCACACCGGGTGGTGGTTTCACTCTTATCCAGTTAAACTTTTTGCCTCATCAAATAAAACCAATGACTTTCAGATGTAAGATGCAACAATTCCCTCCTAGGAAGGTCGTTTTCCCCAAGCGTATCACCCCACTCCAAATACTGTTCTCTGACTGCTAAAGGAAACTTTCAAACCACAGGGAAAACATACTCCTCCCCCAACACAAACGTCTTATTTAGGGTTATTTCCAATGAATGAATCCTTCTGCCAACAAAGGCCTTCTGCTTCCT